ATGTACCGAAGGCCATAGGTCCCAAGGTTGAGCGGTACCAAACCTAAGGCACTCGCAGAGAATGCAGCTGCTGAGAAGCAGAAGACAGGAATGTATTCCCATTTATCCACATAAATGTCTCAGTTTAGCCCCCTGGATCTGCCTAACTGGTTTTCTTACGAACAGCATTTTGGATACAAGTCCTTCTCTCCACCTGATCTTGTCTCCTTGCATCCACACTGCAGGACCACTGGCTTCCTTTCCAACCCCTCAAACACACCAGCTTTCTTTGCAGCTCAAAGCATTGTGACTCACTGTCTTCCAGAGCAGAGCCCAGCATCTCTCCTCAGCTGAACCACAGAGCAAATCAAGACACCCAGGGCGCCAACCGCAACTCTTCGTACCTCACGTACCAGCGCAGCACTCTGTGCCCTGCCTGCCAGAGGGGTTCACAGCCCCTGCCCGAAGCCTGGCCCCAGACAGCACAAAGACCCTCGCCGTACCTCAGCTTGCCCCCTTCAGCTGAACGGGATGGAAGGTGAACAAGAGGAAGACCATGTGGGTAATTTATAGCCTCTCTTTAATCACAGGCCTCTGCAGGGAGGGACCTGGGAGTCCTGGGGGATACAAAGTTGACCATGAGCCAACAAGGCCAATGGTATCCTGGGGTGCATTGAGAAAAGCGTGACCAGCAGGTCGAGGGAGGTCATCCTTCCCCTCTACTCTGCCCTAGTGAGGCCGCACTTGGAGTGCTGTGCCAGTTCTAGGCTCCCCGGTTCAAGAAAGACAAGGAACTACTGCAGAGTCCTGTGGAGGGCTACAAAGATGATGAAGGGAATGGAGCACCTGTCTGTGAGGAAAGGCTGAGAGAGCTGGGGCGGTTTAACCTGGATAAGACTGAGAGGGGATCTTATCAGTGCTTATCAATATCTAAAGGGTGGATGTCAGGAGGATGGGGCCAGGCTCTTCTCAGTGATGTCCAGCGACAGGACTAGGGGCAATGGGCACAAACTGAAATGCAAGCAATTCCATCTCAACACGAGGCAAAACTTTACTCTGAGGGTGCCAGAGCACTGGAATGGGCTGCCCAGAGAGGTGGTGGGGTTTCCTTCTCTGGAGATACTCAGTATTCAAAACCTGCCTGGACTTGTTCCTGTCCAACCTGCAGGATTGGTGATCCTGCTCTGGCAGGGGGGTTGGACTCAGTGATCCCTGAAGGTCCCTTCCAACCCCTGCCACTCTGTGATGAAGCACAGCAGTGTGCTTTCCTGGCACAGGGCACTTTGGATATTACAGCCCAACTCACCGTAACAGCCCGTAGGACAAAACCTGCCTTTGCTGCAATTTTGGAAGCTGGGGGCAGGGTTTCACACCACTCTCTACTTACCTGGGAAAAGACACACAGAAGGACAGAGAAGACACAGCTAGACTCTCTCAGGTATATTTAAAAAAATCTAGAGAAGTCTAATATTTTGTGAAGTCACTTGAAGGTACAGGGTGGTAGCAGAAATCAAAACCCAGTGAGGAGAACATCACTTACTTAGATTTGCTCTTGGCCACTGTTTTTTTGCAGCATGAGGAAGAGGAAAAAAAAGAGAAGAAACAGTTGTCATTTTATCTTGTTTCCCTTATATGCAACATATAAAGATTAAGCGTTTTCCACTGCCTGCCTTTGCCATCGCCCCAGATAGATTGTGCACAGACATTTACTGTCACAAGAAATGCCCCTCGTCCTTCCACCTACGCACTCCCCGCTGCCCTTCTGCCATCGTGCCGCCTTCATAAGTGCCTACGCCCAGTGCCTAGCGCAACAGACGGCTCTTGTTACGGCCTCCAGGTGCTCTCAACACAAAGCTTCGATGCTGAATAGGCATTTGCCACACGAACGCGCAGTGTCACTTAAGGCAGGCGTGAACCAACGCTGCTGGTGAAAACCGCAATCCCACTCTCCCCTTACGCCCACACCTGCCCCGGCTCCTGCTGCAGTGCCAACTGAACGGTTTGCGTGGCGATAGGGGGAACCAGACCAGGGAGCTGTTCTCACATGAGACTAAACTAAGGCTGGGTCTTGGCCCCCCTGATCTAACACACTGCATAGCGGGAAACAGGCAGAATTGGGTTTTTCTGTTGGCTCAGTGATTTTAAACTCATCACAGATCTGCAGCATAAATGCAAAACGACCCCACCGGGATCTGAGCACTCGCTCATCTATGTTCTGGCCGTGCAAGTCTTGCTTAGGGCATTGCGTGCTTCTGGTCAACCTCCTCCTGTGCCCCTCCTTCAGCCCAGGCTCACCCAGGTAGGTGAAAGGCACATTTCTCAACCCAGGGCTCACTCCCTCCACCCCAACGCCCTCCAGCAACTCCCGTTTTTCCACGCAAGAGCTGAACGGAGCTTCTCAGCCTCGCTCCTGAGGGCTCGCAGGTTCTGCTCCCCCCGCGTTCCCGACCTCGGCCCCCGTCACAGGGCCTAGCCTTGCTGACAGGCACCCCCTCTGCTCT